TCTCACTCTCGACTCACTGCAACCTCTGCCTCCCAGGTTCAAGCAATTCTCCTCCCTCAGCCTCGCAAGTAGCTGGGACTATAGGCATGTGCCACCACACCCTGCTAATTTTTGTAATTTTAGTAGAGACAGGGTTTCACCATGTTGGCCTGGCTGGTCTTGAACTCCTGACTTCAAGCCATCCACCCACTTCAGCCTCCCAAAGTGCTGGGATTACACGTGTGAGTCACCAAGCCCACCTATATTGAGATTTCATGTACACATAGTGAACTATACAGATCAGTGTATGCTTTAATGAGTTTACGGTGCATTTCAGACTACTAGAAATGGAATCTTTCATTATCTAGAAATTTCCCTCGTGTCCCTACCCAGTCAATCTCTGACATGTCGGCAACTACAGTTCTGATTTCTATCACCATAGATCAGTTTTGCCTATTCTAGAACTTCATAAAGGACATCAATTTGGAATGAAAACTTGAAAATACATTTTAATAAAAAATTTCTCAATTTTCATTAAACATTGGTTTAAATGTTGGAAACCAATCCACATTTTTGTGAAACAATGTGCAGACCCAACAAAACACACAGGCTCAACTCAGCTCAACAATAACACAACCACTTTGTGTCTGGTCTGTAGTGTAAACAAGGAATATATTTTGCATAAGTTTATTAAGATGTCTTTCATGACTATTGGTTGGGGTGCTACCTGACAGTTTTTATTATTTAGCAACTAGCAGCACATTTCTTAGAACAGGAGGGGCAGGCTTATCTTCAGGGCAACAAGGAGAAAGGGAAACCGAAGCCCTCTCTGCAGCCAGCCTAGGGGGAAAGGAAGCACAAGGGGAGGAATGGGAAGAGATTAATTTGGAGAGGAAAGGAAAGCTGGGGGGACTATCCAGGAGGTGTAACAAGGAAGAAAGAGAACACAGGCTGCTGCTCTTTCAACTAAACAGTAAGAAACCCCATCTTCACATCACTTTACAAGTATCCCACTGAAAATGGGTCCTGTATGATCTTTAGCACCCTCTCAAACTCTTGTCCACTGCTCCTTTCCTTGCTGGGGTCATTTTCTTCGCCTTCCCACCTTGTCACTCTGCTCCAGCCACATGGACTTCCTTGCTGTCTGTTACTATTGTTTGTCTGTTTGTTCGTTTTGAGACAGAGTCTTGCTCTGTTGCCCAGGGTGGAGTGCAGTGGTGCAATCACAGCTCACTGCAACATCTGCTTCCTGGGCTCAAGTGATTCTGGCACCTCAGCCTCCCGAGTAGCTGGGATTACAGGCATGTGCAACCACGCCCAGCTAATTTTTGTGTTTTTAGTTGAGATGGGATTTCACCTTGTTGGTCAGGCTGGTCTTGAACTCCTGGCCTCAAGCAATCCGCCCGCCTTGGCCTCCCAAAATTGCTGGGATTATAGACATGAGCCACCGCACATGGCCTCCTTGCTGTTTTATGAACATGCCAAGCACATGTCTGCCTCAGGGCCTTTGCACTGGCCAGGATGCTGTACTCCCAGACAGTCTCATGTTTTTATGAGCTGTATGTTTCTCCATAGCACTTAACACTATCTAACCTACATGATGGTTTACTTCTTTATTTTCTGTCTCCCTTCCCTTCTTCATAAGTATGTAACCTACATGAAGTCAGGGGCATGGGGGAACTCATTAGATATTTGTTGGATAATGAATGACTCTAGGAAGAAACGAAGGAAACAAAAATGCAAGAAAGGAAGCAATGAAAACCCTTGTTACCTTTGAGGATGTTGTTAAAAGTGTTCAATAAACAGGGACTGGCTAAGAAATTTTACCATTTCTAATTATTTTGCAAAATTGTGTTGCTTTTTGGAAGTAAAGATTTAAAAAGCAAACTAATGATAATCCTAAGGACTAGCACGACCCTATTCTTATTATCTTAAAAAACTAGATGTATGGGAGGATACATTTTTATTTATAAACACATAAATGGGCCATTGAGTTTAGTAATAATTAAGTTTCCAGTAGAGTTGAAATTATGACAAATCTACCTTTTCCTGGTATATTTCTTCCTACTTTAATTCATTTTAAGAAGTAGGTCAGGAATAAATTATGACATAACAGAACATGTGCCCAATACTACTAAATCTTTGGGAACAACGATCAGCAATGAACATATAAAACGACTCCAATCCTAGAATTTTGTTTTCTTTTGTTTGTTTTTTACTGGCAATGAGTACAACCAGCTCTAGGCAGCTGGAGAGGTGGGGGCTGAGCTGGTTTTGTAGGTCTGCATTGGATTTTTGACATCAGGTAAAGGCCACTCCTCTGAGATACAGAGGTAAAAACTTTACTGCCAATAGCTTTCCACTCCAGGAAAAAATAAAATATGCTCCAACCTAAGCTGTGATTTAGAATTAAGTCAGGCCCTGGGATTGGCCAACGCTGGATTAGACCAAGTGTGTCCAGGCTGCCAGTTCACCCCTGGAGACAGTACTGCATGCACTGTGTATGGAAGGCTGCAGGGAACATGCGGGAATCAAGGGCCACAAGCCCACATTTGTCAACACGGAGCATGCTGAGACAAGCTCAGCTGGGGAGACCCTAATCCAGCGGCGCTAGAGGAATTAAAGACACACACAGAAATATAGAGGTGTGAAGTGGAAAATCAGGGGTCTCACAGCCTTCAGAGCCAAGAGCCCTAAACAGAGATTTACGCACATATTTATTAAAAGCAAACCAGTCATTAGCATTGTTTCTATAGATACTAAATTAACTAAAAGTATCCCTTATGGGAAATGAAGGGTTGGGTTGAATTAAAGGAATAGGTTGGGCTAGTTAGCCACAGCAGGAACGTGCCCTTAAGACACAGATTGCTCATGCTATTTTTTGAGTCTTAAGAATGCCTTTAAGCGGTTTTCCACCCTGGGCGGGCCAGGTGTTCCTTGCCCTCATTCCCACAACCTTCAAGCTTGGGCGTTAGGGCCATTATGAACATGTCACAGTGCTGCAGAGATTTTGTTTATGGCCAGTTTTGGGGCCAGTTTATGGCCAGATTTTGGGAGGCTTGCTCCCAACAGAGCAGGTGGGATATGGTAATCTGCCTGCATTTCAGCAAGTTGAGAATAGGCTTATAGCAGAGATAAGACTAATCGAGAAAGAAAAGAGAGAAATTAAGTGTAGCTCCTGGTAACCCACGTGCCTCTTACCCTTGTCAGTTTTTCCTCCTTTCCATTTTTGGTCAACTGATGTCTGTCTCTCTTACTGATCTGACAGTCACATATACACACAATTTTTTGTCTTTGGGATATGAAGACTATTAGGAGATTAAAAGAAGAGTAGGGTAAACAAATACGTTTCATGGATTACAATATAGTAAGTGCTAACTCTAGAAGAATTTTCCAAGTGTGAAAATCTACAGAATTTACAGTGTAATGGCAACATGATTAGGTCCCAAGAAACAATTAAGGTAAACAATGTGCTCTTTTTCTCCTCTCCCTGGTAACTCAATAGTCTTCAACTACTTGAGAAGGTGTGAGGATCATTTTTTATCTCAGTTTGGACACTGAAGCTCATATTTCAGCGACGATCAAGGTGATCATGCTTATCCCCTGCTGACACCTTTCTTCCCCACCTCAACAAGTCACAGATCACTTCAAGGAGAAAATTTCAAGAGGTTATTAAACACTGGCATGGATACCCAGAGCAGAGATGTTATCGTCTCTGGGGACCTTTAGGAACAGCTGATCATCCTGGATAGGCAGAGTTACACCTAATTCAGACTGTCAAAAACTACCGGGTGCTGCAAAGTCAGCAAAGCATTGTGGGAATATCAAAAAGGTGAGCAGGCACAGCAGCTCCCCTGAATAACCTGAAATGGCTTGATCTGGACTGCTTCTGAGAAAGGCATGTTTAGGTTTGGTTACCTCTGAGGAGGTGCAATGCTGGGCGAGGTTATGTTTACCAGGGATTTTGTGGGCCTGCTTTTCTCAATCCTGACTGGATATTAGTATTTGCTGGGGGGACTTTTAAAAAATAAAGATGCCTGGGCCTATGCCAGTCCATTATCTTCTCCCCACCTTCATCACTCTTCTTTTTCTCTTTGAGACAGAGTCTCGCTCTTGTTGCCCATGCTGGAGTGTAGTGGCGCAACCTTGGCTCACTGAAACCTCCACCTCCTGGGTTTGATTCTTCTGCCTCAGCCTCCCAGTAGCTGGGATTACAGGAATGCGCCACCATGCCTGGCTAATTTTTGTATTTTAAGTAGAGACAGGGTTTTGCTATGTTGGCTAAGCTGGTCTTGAACTCCTGGCCTCAAATCGTACTCCCGCCTCAGCCTCCCAAAGTGCTGGGAGCACAAGTGTGAGCCACTGAGCCTGGCCTACACTTTCACTATTGAAAACATTTGTATTCTGGAGGACTATGAAGGAGGGGACAGGTCTTTTTCAAAATCTAGGGAACACTAAGGACTTTATCTTCAAAATAAATCTGATTAATTAATCAGAATCTCTGTTGGGTATTTTTTTTTCTAAATAAACTCCCAGGCAATGCAAATGCAATGGAATTATACATTAGTTGCTGAGAACCACTGGTGCCATATAGCACCCTCATTTTATACATAGAAAAATTAAGGTCCAAAGAATTTAACTGACATGTGACTTGCCCAAGACCACATGCCTGGTTAGTGGCAGAGCTTGGCTTAAAACCATGATCTCCATTAATTTACAAATCCAATAAGCATCTTTCAAGGACATTCTAGGGTTGTTGGCCCACCACCTAGTTGCCACTCAAGAATACGGTAAGTCAAAGCTGGTTGATAGCTAAGGATATCTTAGGCTGATCCCGATCCAAGTTAAAAGGTAAGTGTAAGGTGTGATGGTTCTGGTATTCTCTCTTATAGTTTTCTTCCAAGTAGTGGTGTGTGATTCAGATCTCTGGAAATTTTGAGGAATCCTTTGATCTGGATAAAATCCATCACTACCTCTGACCCACTCTCCGATTTACTAGTTCGAGGAGGCTGTCTACTTACCCAGATCCAATGTGCAGCACAAAAGTCAGGACAGGGGACAAGATCCCCCACTGGGAGCTCCAGTGAAGTTCACTGAAACCTTGATTACTGGGGCTGAGAGCTAGAGAAGGTAGAGCTCGCTCCTTGGCCCTATATATAGAAGAAGAAAAGTAAGTTAATTCAGCAGTTGCTGGTTTGTGTTTTTGAAAGAAGCTATGTCTAAAATATTTCTTAAAGCTGTCCTTTCATTCCTAATATCAACCCACTCCCTTCCAAGGCACAGCTACTGCTATCAGAGTGGCTTACATGGGATAGGCTAATTCTATATAATTATATCTTCTTCCTAAGGGTGAACTGCTAGGGTGTGAAAAACATATATTTCAATTTTTGAACTCGACCATTCCCATATGTAGCAATTCATGACTACAAGTTTGCATATGAGAGATTGTGTCCCGAATGGGGCATCATCAGTACTGGGAGCAAATCCTCCTAGAGCACTTGCCTTGAAAAGAGCAAGAAAAGTAGAAAAATGAGAGACTCATAATGTTCAAGATAAGAGTTGACCTTGATCAATTAAAAAATTAGGCCAATCTGTCTTTAGTCTTTTACAAATAATACAATTATTCCTTCCCATTCACAGAATACTTACTCAAGGGGCCATGTATTTATTCCATTTGAAAGTAAATTAAGTCATATCCACTCAGTTTGTGAATTTACCCACATCTTGCTTCACTTCCCTTTCCCTCCACCTACCTACCCTCTGACTAATTCGCTGACCCGTTCTAAAGCAAGCTCTCACAACCTGGGCACCAGGAATCCTCTGAAAGGTGTACAAGATTTTGAATGGGTGTGCTTTTTTATTTTTGGGGGGGATAAAGTCCCTAGTGTTCTCCAGATTTTGAAAGAGACCTGTCCCCTCCTTCATAGTCCTCTAGAATACAATTGTTTTCAAAGGTGAAGGTGGGAAGAAGATAATGATGTTGACAGTTGTTGGTACCTACAATAAAACATTTTATGAAGTTGGTCCTGGAACTAGCCTTCAAAAGGATTAAGAGTTCATGAAATTAGATCTATCCTCCAAAAGAATAGACTTACATAAAACATACTTTGAGGCACAAAATTATTAAATTTATTCATGCTGTGTCTTCTTTTGTGCAAGATTTCACTAGTTTGAAACCAAAAGAAAGGAAAATCATCACCTCATTTTTCTTGATTTTAACTTTATTAATGTAATGGTAATGAGAACACCTGGGAATATGGATGTACTTCTTATTTATCATGATTTCCCTCGAAAACTGTTTCACTTGGGTTACTAAAATGCAGACTACCTGCAACGGTAGAAAAATTAAGATACCAGGGGGCAACACATGATATTTAGAATGAGATGAAAACTCAACTGATTTTGATTGTCAGTTAAATAGGCAGTGCACACCTGCATCTACACCTCACAAGACAATCCACTGATTGTTAGAAACTTCCTTAGTCTTCCATTCTTCTATTCTTAGCAAAGCGCCTCTACTCGAAAGGCGCTCAAATACTTGTTGGATTGAGTCAATTCTTTTGGTTTCGCTCATAAATTAATGAGGAACGTGTAACTCTGTACAGTTTCAGAGTAGTTAAAGAGAGAGAAAAAAAGAAATGCTACGTAAGAGAATTGGGGCTTCAGGTGTTACCTAATAGACTAGAAAGCTTTCCAACAGTGCACTTAAGATATGAGCTATAGCAACCTTACCTAGGAATTCCTCGCCCTAACTTTCTTTCTAATGCAAATTAGTTTGAATTTCTCTCTCCTCCCTCCTGTCCTCTGTCTGAAAGTCTTCTGATACAAAGCAATACTACAGTAATTAGAACGAATGCCTGACAAAAACACATTTTAAATTTCATTTTCAAAAAGGTTGATACTTCCTATTGCATACTCCGAATTCCCCTGCATTTCTATGCTGTAGATTCCTACACTTTAGACAATACATTTGTATCTAGTGCACACTGTTCACTTTTCAGATAGGAAAAAGCTAAATCTCAGTCAGTCCCCGCAAAAGGTTGCCATTTTTTTTGTTGTTTTAAGAGTCTCCATGAATGTTATTTAAATTCTAGAATCCACAGTACTCATCGAAGCTAGGAAAAGAATTTTGCCCACCTACAGCGTATCGGAGGCTTTTTTCACAGCTAGCAGATCGGATCCTTGCAGCTGTTTCTTCTGTAGGTCTCGGAGCTCATTGAGAACGTCCAGCACGCCTTCCCAGCTGAGCCCGGCGCAGGTGCGCTCTAGATGAGGCAGTTAACCAAGTCAATTGGTTCCTGATCAACTAAATCTCTCGTAAAAATAAACACTGCCGCGAGCTTCGAGAGTCCAGAGTGTCAGAGCCTCTATGATGGCAGAGCAGCTGCCGCGATGCCTGATTAGTAGGGAGAAGGATTTCCCGGCAGGGGGCCAATACCAAATTTTAGGGCTGTCAGGCTCTGACCAGTCCCTTCGTGAGCGGAGAAGTAGGAGACCCGGGGTTCAAGCCTTGCCCGGCACTGAGCGGAGGGCCCAGTCTCGGGACCACAGCCTCGCTCCCTGGGAGCTCGGGGCAGCCAAAGCCGGGCAAGCCCGGCCCGGCACAGGAGGAGGCACGGCCAGTCTCCGGAGAGAGGGCCAGAGGCAGAACTGAGGGCCTAGTTTTGGGTAATTCGGTTTGGATACAAATCAGGCCAGACCCAAGGAGTCTGGTGCCGGCCACCGTAGGGCAAGAGGAGGGTGTTTCGGAGCAGAGCCAGGGCGCGCGGGAAAAAGATGAAAACCAAACTGGAAACGGCAAAGGGCTGGATTAGCGCCGAAGGGATTCGAGGAGGCAAACGTGAAGTAAAAATGCTGTGTGCAGCTGCAGAGGGCGAGGGGACGGGGATTGCAAAGGAAAGCGCTTCGCGAGACTTTCTCCTTCCCGGCGTAGAGACCAGCAGAGTGCGGGCAGGTCAGCCCTGTCGTCTGTTCGTTTAGGGAAAGGGCGCGGCATGGAGCCCGGGAGAGAGGGGCAGAGGCAGAGGCGGTGACAGCGAGGGCCCCTGCTCGGGTGGGCCCGCGGGCCTCAGCTCAGCCCCCTCCCGAGGGACCGCGACCCCCGGCCCCGCGCGCACTCACCAGCCCGGGCTGCCCTGGGCGGAGCCGCCCCGCCGCGCTCCCCAGCCGCTGCCTCTTCGACGGGCGCGCTGCCTCCAGGTGCGGCTCTAGGAGGAGGCGCCGCGGGCAGTGGTGGCTGCGCCCGGTGCCTCCGGGTAACACAAGCCCGCCCCGCCCCACCAAAGCCAGGCCCGCAGCCACCCTCCGCTGTGGGACGCCGGGGCGCGGGCATCCTGCCCCCTAGGGGCCTCTTCCCAAGCACCTAGAACTTTCCAAAGTGTGCTTGGAATTTAACACCTTGTTCTTGACGAGCAAAAGTACCCTGATGAGACCGGCTTTCTTCCTCTACGGCCCAGGAGTTTCTCCAGGTGGTATCCTGTCGCCTTGAGGTGGAACGTCAGTAGAGGCTCGAGGCTGAAGCAAGCACAATACTCAAGGTATAGCGTTCAAGTGGAAAACATTGCGTTTTATGATTTTAAAATGGAAAAGAACCAAAAGAAAACCCTGACTTATCTTTTCAATTACGGTCATTATAGAGACTCGGATTCGTACAGGAACATTCGAAAACTTAGGAAATCCTTAGGACAATGTAAGTGTGGGATTTTTTGTTTTTGTTTTTTTCAAAAAGTTTTGATGAACTGCCTTTGGTTAACACTTTGTTTGCAAATATTGACTATTTATTGCACAACAAGGCAATGCATGATAGGTTATTTTCCGGGCATTTAAATTAGAATTTACAAAACAACGTTTGCGTTTTATTAAGTAGAATAACGTAACATGTTACCCCAAAGTGGGAGAATCGCTTGAGCCCAGGAGTTTGAGACCAGCCTGGCAACAAAGCGAGACTCCGTCTCTTAAAAAACAAATTAGGAAATAGCTTGTTTTGCTTCTAAAAACTGGGATACAAGAGAGCGCCGAAGCCAGAGTGCCGGGATCCAGGAGGGTGAAGTGTAGAAAATGATTTCAAATACACACTTCCCTCTGGCCTTGTCTTAGTAAGGATTATAGTTGGTTCATTAAGAGCATCTGTTTTTTGCTTTGTGCATTTCTGCGCGTGCACACTGTAGTGACACATGTGGTGGACAAGGTCTTTGGTCTTAAAGCTGAAATGCACGCCTGCAGACACCAGAGGCTTCTGCCAAGGAGACCCCACCTCCAGAACCCAGGCCAGGCCTTCGGCTTGGAGCGCTGGTGCGGTCCTTCAACCGGGAGGAAGGGCTGGAGATTCCCTCCCTACTCCACACGAGGGCGATCTCTTCAAGGGCACCAGACCACTCTCCACGTCCCTAGCTGAGGAAACCAAATTTGCTTTTCTCCACGCTTTTGAATATCGCTAAACAAATCTTAACAGGATAAGATACTAAAGAGGAGTTGGGCTCCTGGGACGTGCATTTCTGGTGTCCTTCATTTGCCACTTGGCCTTTGCCATCCTATGAAATTATTTTGCCACATACATGTCTGTACCCTAGTGCTTCTTACACTATAATGTGCATAGGAATCACCTGCGGATCCCGTTAAAAATGCCGATTCTGATTCAGTAGGTCTGCAGTAGGGGCTGAGATAAGCATTTCTAACAGGCCCCTGGGTGATCCTGGTAGGCTGCTGGAGGACCAAACTTTGAGTAGCAACACTGGAGACAGTTGGATGATAAACTGCCTTTGCTGGTAGTGTAGCAGGACCAGCCGCAGACAAAACTCCTCAGACGCCGGAATAAAGAAGGAAGAGGTTTTTTATTCGGCCGGAGAGCATAGGCATGACTCGTGGTCTTAAGAGCTGAGCTCCCTGAGCAAAGAAATCTTGGACCTTTTTAGAAGTTACAACTTTAAGGGTCCACACTGGCAAAGGGGTCATGGATACAATCGAGCAAGCATCGAGAAACGTGACTGGGGGCTACATGCATCAGCTCACAAGAACCAAAGTTTTACAATGCCTTTTTTCATACAAGTGTCCTGGAATTTACAGATAACACAAGTAGTTTAGGCCAGGGGTTTCTGATGTTATTATTATTACTTGCGGTTTAACTCGTAGGGTCGAGGTGGTGGTCCAAGTTAGTCTCAGGTTATTTATCTTAACTTTTGTTCTCTTTCTACCGCAGTTTCCCTCTGTGTTGTGAACTAGGCCAAGGTGGGGCGGGAGGAGGCAGCAGGAGTAGTAGTGGTCTCCTCCTTAGTACGCACCAAGGTAACCTAATACACTAACACAAATAATAACAATGTTGTTAATACCTGTTGCAGTGTCTTACATATAGTAAGCACTGTTCTGAGCACTTACATGGATTTACTTGTATAAGATACTGCTATTAGTTTCCTATTAGAGATGACTTTTCTTTTTTGAAGGAAAATTTGTATTGTAATTATTGTTCATTAGTACAGTAAAAACTCAACAGTGACATTTAACCCAGCTTAGGACAAGTTCTTTAGCCTTTGCACTTTTCGACTTGGCGATATACGGAGCCGCGAGCAGACTTGGGACCAGGAACCATTGCCACCCCAGTGAACGGCGGATCTCATCGTATCTGATCCTTGTAATTGCCCTGATAGCTTCCCACCAGCTTAGCCAAAGCGCCTCTTTGTCTTCCGTAGTTACACTGATAGGGCGACAGTAAGCGCCAAGGTCAGCATTCATATACATAGACGGCCCCCCCCCACAGTCTGGCCTTACCCCATATATATGATGCCAGGAAGGAGCACACCCATCTTGTGAGCGACACAGGCAGGCTAAGCAAGCAGCCAGCTCCGATGGACCACGTCATGTCACATCACCACCAGCTGAGGCCTTCTCATGTTGTTCTACCAACCAGAGGTGGTGACGTGTTCAACTCCTGCCGAAGACAAAGGTCGGGACTCTTAGTGGGGACATCCCCTGTGCGCCAGCAGCTTTTCTTCTCGGCCAGGGCCAACAGCACTCGCTTTTCCTTGCTTTGTCCTTGTCAGTACTTGCTGGGCCAGCTTAAGCCAGCTGAGTAAGCCTGTATGTGGCATATGCCAGGGCCTGGGTAAACCTGGTTAATAGCAGGAGGCCACTTCAGCCGTCTTATAGAGGATGTGCTCTCTGCACCGTGAACCTGATAATGCGGAGGCCCATTTCACTAAAAAGCAGGTGAGGTCTCTTTTGGGCTGCATGGCCTGTCCAAATGCCAAAATTCTTAGGATCTTTTCTCAAAAGGGATCACCACTTTCTGGCCCTCCTGCTTTTTACGACAGCAGGGGCGAGGCCACCTTCCTTTCCCTTTGGCCTTCTTTCCTTTCCGCATCTTGGGCGGCGGGAGGAGTACGAGCGAGATTGACATTTGACTTCTAAATGAGTCTTTCCTCCAACCCTCTACCGCTTTACCCATCCTTGCTGGCTTAATTTCATTTCTTTGGTGTTAGAATATTAGGGAGAGCATCAGGAAGAATAGCTAGTGGATGCTGGGCTTAATACCTAGGTGGTGGGTTGACCTGTGCAGCAAACCACCATGACACACGTTTACCTGTGTGATAAATCTGCGCATGTACTCCAGAACTTAAAAGCTGATAAAAGAAAAAACAAAATTAAAAGATCTGAAAACGTATATTCAGAGAATTGTCTTCCTTCTTTTGTTCCATCCATTCTACCCAATCCTGTGTGAGTAAACAATGTCATTACTTCTCATCTATTCTTCCTGTGTTTTTGTAAAGCCACACAGATATTTGTTATGTGTTCTTGCCTGCCTTCCTGTCTGCCTGCCTGCCTACCTTCCTTCTTTTCCTTCCTTCCATCCTTTTCTTTTTTTTTTTTTTTTTTTTTTTTATTATACTTTAAGTTCTGGATACATGTACAGAATGATGCAGTCTGTTTACATAGTATACACGTGCCATGGTGGTTTGCTGCACCCCCATCAACCCGTCTCTACATTAGGCGTTTCTCCTAACTGTGTATCCCCTGCCCCTAGCCACCCACACCCCTAACAGGCCCCTTGTGTGATGTCCTCCCCGTGCCGTGTGTTTTCATTGTTCAACTCCACCTATGAGGGTGAGAAATGTGGTTGTTTGAATTTTTCTGTTCCTGTGAGTTTGCTGAGAGAATGATGGTTTCCAGCTTCATCCCATCGTCCCTGCAAAGGACCATGAACCATCCTTTTGTTGGTGGCTTGTATAGTATTCCATGGTATA